GTATATCACAGGGGGCTTTGGATGCCTTGGAGAAAGAGGTCACGTAAAATCCTGTTAGTTCTTTCACGGAAATGCTCCCAGCTGTGGAGTAGTCAGGAAGCGGACGGAACCCTGGAGATGACAGCGCTGAACAGGCAGGCCAGGTAAAGCGGGGACCCAGGCCTGACCTCCCACGGTCACTGGGGCCAGGACCCATCCCGAGAGGCTGCTGACCGAGGAGACAGCCTTCAGGAACTGTCTTTTGCAGCCCTTCGTGAAAATGTTCACAAGGACGCCCACCCTAAAACCAAACCAGGTCTCTCCGTTGCCAAAGCCTGTGAACTTCTGCTGTGGAAATTTCCATCTGGAGCTCCTGGCATCCTCCACTGCCCTGCTCCCGTCCCCCGCCCCCAGGCACAGGCCTCTGGAAGACAGATCAATAAGGCAGTTTTCCTCTCGGTAATTCAATCCCACTGTCTGCTTTACGTCTCACGTCTTCCTGATTTTCCTGCCCCGGGGACCCGGCCGGCGCCACACGGCACACCAGGGCACGCACATCTGGAAAGGCCTGTGTTCGGTGGTTCCTGAGCGGGAGATGAAAAAGCTGGGGGCTGAAGCCGTTGTGGTCAAAACAAGAAGAAGACCGGGCCGGGAGCTTGCAAAAGCAGCGGCTGGCTCCACGGAGCTCACAGCTAAATATGGTGTTTGGGAATGTCCGGTTCGGCAGCGGACTGCTGGGGAGGGCCTGCTTCCAGCTCGTGTGTGCCCCGGTGTGCAGGGGGCGGCCAGCCCTGCCTCCTGCGGGCACACGGGGAGGACTGGAAACGAGGTCTGCGTGTACCGTGGTGCGCGCCACCCACGGGGACACAAGTTCAACCCTCTCTCTCGGGTTCTGGCATGGGGCCAGAAAGCTTTAACGTGCCAAAGCCCTTGTGTTCAGACTGGTGCGTGATGAGGCCAAACTAAAGGGAAAAAAATGTCACCAGCTTCCATGGCAGGTTTTAGAGGTAACGAAACGTGAGAGTCTCTCGAAAGGGAGCTGATTTTCAGCCCTGCGGGTGGGCAGGGCCGGCAGAGGCCAGCACGGTGACTCTTAAGCTTCCCCAGGAGCACACTGCAGACCCCGGGGCCCTGGACGCCGGCCCCAGGCCCTGGTTCAGAAGAAGACCCTGAAGCAGGGCGTTTAAGACCCATGCTTCTTGACCACTGGTATAAAGGAGAAAGGCGGATGTTTTTTTTTTGGAGTAACCGGCCCATAGACAATTTACGTGCTTAACTCCTAGAGGCCCCTGGTCAGTAAAGCAAGGCTAGTACGGTCTGGCCTGCCGGACCACTGTGAGGATCGAGACGGATGCACAAGCTGCCCTTGGCAGCAGCCAGCCTGCCCCTACGCACGTGGTCGGTTGTGGCACCAGCCCGGCCTGGCCAGAGCCAGCAGGGCCCGCTGGAGGTCCGGGTGGCCCCTGCTCACGTTTCTCGTGTGTCGGCTACCATCTGCTGCCTCCCCCCGTTTCCTGGGGCCCCTCTCCCACCTGGACTCACGTGGCTAGACTGGTCCTGCAGAAGAGCTTTTCCCTGTTTCGCCGCCACACCTCGGGGGAGAAACGAGCAAAGGGAAGGAAAGTGGAGAGCCCCAAGGACGGGGAAAGCTCTGTCTTCTCCTCCCACCTGTCTTTACCTGCCTTCTGCGCCCGGCAGGGCCTGGCGCTGATCAAAGCAGCCCCAGGGGCCTCGCCTCCTCCCACCGCAGAACAACGGTGGGAGGGCCGGCCGGAGGGTGTGCATCGTCTCCATTTTACGGATGAGAAAACTGAGGCCTCTTGGTCTAGTTCTTAGGCCACCCCACCACATTCTCAACACCATCCTCACAGGGTTTTAAAAAAACCCAAATCCAAATATAGGCCTGCTGTGCCCTGCTCTAAATCCCCTCAACAGCTCCCTGCTGCTCAGAGCAAGGTTTGGACAACTTTCCTGCAAGGGGCACGTGGTCGTTACTGCAAGGGCCACGTGCCAACAGACCAAAATCGAGGTTCCTACGTGGGTACTTAGGTAACGGGAGACAAAATGTTCCACAAAGTTTATCAGTGAAATTCAGAATATAATAATGAACAACATCTTTCATGATCTGGTTCTAAGGAGAAGGATGGATTTTTGGGGGGAGGGAGTAACATCTCCATTGGGGTTCAGCATCAGTGTTCCCCATCTTCATTCAGCTCAGTTTCTATGATTTGTGTGACTGCAGACTGTATGATCACCCGTAGGAACCACTGTAAACTTGGGGGTCGTACGAAAATGGGCAGTGGGCCGGACTCGGCCTGCAGAGGCTGCCATCGGGGACCGCTGCCTGAAGGGTCGAGTCTCAGCCCCTCCACCTGCGCACTCGGCTGCAGAGCCTTGCTCCCCAACAGCTGCTTAAATGGGCTTCACTCTCCAGCCCCCTAGCCCCACCCCCATCCCCCTCCCCCTTCCAGCCGGGGAACCCCTGCCTTTCCCAGGCCCTACTCTTTCCAGGGCTGTGCATTAAATACCTCCCCTGAACCCCGGTGCCTCCCCCCACTCCAGCAAACAGTGAGAGAAATCCAAATGTAAACCACGATATTATAAGGGGAAAATAACTATTAAAAAATGCATGAGAATACTTTGCAAATCTCTATGCCAATCAATCTGAACATGTAAATGGGACAGTTACCTGGAAAGAGACAGGTCACCAAATGACCCTGTTAGAGATAAAAAGCATCAACAAACCAATTGTTTTGTAGATTAGAGAAAATAGTCAATAAAGGAAGTACCCGCCCTAGAGAGTTTCACAGGAAGTACAAATCTCTGAAGACTAGATAGTTTTAATGCTGCACCAGTTCCTTCAGTACCTGAAATAAAGGTAAACTTCCAAATTCTCTTTATGAAGCAAATATTGATACTTAAACAAATATAAATCTTGGTGCAAAAATCTTAAAATAAATACTCACAAACTCATCAACCTCATACGAAGAAAATAATTCAACATGACCAAGGGCATCTACTCCGGGAATGCAAGGTTGGCTTCAGGCTATAATCAAATGCGCTATATTAAGTGATCTAAGAAGAATCATCTGATTATCTCCATTAATGCTCGAAAAACATTTAATAAATCCAATACATTTGTAACAAAAAAATAAACTACTCATGAAAATAGAAGATGATGGCTACTTCCTTAACATGATAAAACATATAAACCCTAGTGCTAAAGCCAGCATCTACTCAATGAAGAATCAATAGAGACATTTCCACTAAGATCAGGAACAAGACAAGGATGCCTGCTATCTCCACTACCATTTTATTATCGTACTGGAGGTGTGAACCAATGCAATTGGGCGAGAGAAATCAATCAGAGCCATGAGAATTAAGAAACAAAAACTAAGCCCTGGCTGGCATGGCTCAGTGGATTGTGCGCGGGTGCGAACCAAAGTATCGCAGGTGCGATTCCCAGTCAGGGCACATGTCTGGGTTGCAGGCCACGGCCCCCAGCAACTGCACACTGATGTTTCTTTCTTTCTCTCTTTCTCCCTACCTTCCCTCTCTAAAAATAAATAAATAAAATCTTAAAAAAGAAAGAAAAGACACTTACTTAAAATTTAAAAACAAAAAGTAAAACTATTTGCAGATGGTGTAATAGAATACCTAGTAAACCTGAGAGGACCAATTCTCAAATCAACTCAGGCAAGAAAAGAAATAAGTAAGTTAGCAGGATATAAAATCAATACAGAGAAACTGAAGTCTTCACACACAATAAAATGACCAGATGAAAGTTATAACCGTGGATAAAACTCCACGTACAATAGTATCAAAGAAGATGAAATGCTTAGAAATCAACCTAATAACAAGCACGCAAAACCTATAAAATGTACATTTTTAAATGTGCCTCAATGATACAAAAGTGGACACCAACAAGTAGAAAGAAATCCCTGTTCTTGAGTAAAATGCCTCACCGTGTGATAAAGACGTCCGTCCTCCTGAAGTTCTTTTACAAGTAACACAGATCCCCTAAAAATACCACCGAACTTTGCACGCAGTTAGTCGAGTGGACACTAGAATCCGTGTGGAAGATAAACATGCTCGAATATCCAGAAAACCTGATATTCTAGGGGGAGAAAACCCAAGAGCCGCGTCTAGTCCCATCAGATCAGGCCACGAAATCTCTGCACTGACAACAATGAGGAGCTGGCATTTGAATAGGCAGAGATCAGTGGAACAGGAGAGAAATGCAGAGATGGACTCAAGGACACAGAGAAATGCAGTGTATGATGAAGGGTTATCTCACATCACCGGGCTCTTTAGTAAGAAGGTGCTGGACAACAGGGTAGCCATTTAAAACAAAAAAAAAGATAATGCTAGATCCATACCTCACACCAACCACACAAATAAACTCCAAATTGAAACAGAAATAAATATATAAGTGCTAGAAGAACCCACAGAAGACTTCCTCTATAATCTGGGTATACAGAGAGAGTACAGTAAAAAATATTGATAAATGACACTACATAAAAATATATTTGCATGGTAAAAAATAATTGATCATTCATTAAAGAAAATACACGTGTATAAGATGATTACTAATGCTTTTACCGGAAAAGTGTTCGTTTAAATCAACTACGAAAGTGAACTCATCTTACGTAAATAAGCCCTTTATTAAGGAGCACTGATTTTACTTCTTTTTTTTAATCCTCAGCCAAGGATCTGTTCATTAGAGAGAGAGAGGAAGGGAGACAGAGAGAGAAACATCAATGTGAAAGAGAAATATCGATCGGCTGCCTCCCACACGCACCCCAACAGGGGATTGAACCCATAACCAAGGTACGTGCCCTGACCAGGAATCAAACCCATGACCTTTTGGTGCACAGGACAACGCTCCACGCTCCAACCCTCCGAGCCCTCGGGCCAGGGCTTAAAATGCTCGACTTAAAAAGAGCACAATGGAGGGAGGACAGCCACCCGAGAGGAGGGAGGGAGGCCGGTCCTCTGCAGTAGCATCGCTCCAGCCTTACCTTGCTCAGTTTCCTGTGGGCTGCGCCGAGGTTCCCCTGTGCCAGATCGGCCTCGCCCAGGAGCCGGTACGTCTCTGCCACCTCGGGACTGAGGTCGCCGAACACCCCCACCTTGGCCTCCAGGGACTCTCTCAGGATCGAGGCTGCTCTCTGCGACGGGAACAGAAAGCTCGCTGGTTACAGAAGTTCCAAGGCCGAGGAAGGTCAAGTCCTCTTGAGAAAGTGATGCTGTGGCTCACGGGTATTTTCCCTTTTGAGGACAATGGGTTTGGTTGACTGTCTCATGAGCCTACTTTCCTCTGGTTGAACAGGAGACAGACGTGACCTCCATGGAGCGGGGGGAGGTGTGAGGTGTGAAGAGAGAATGCATAAAGACGCGTGGAGGAAAAGCCACTCCAGGGATGGTAAGAAGCCGTTTTAGCTGAGCAGTAAGAGAAAAAAGCTCCGCGGATGTGTCCTTTGGGTGTCGAGCGCTGTGCTAAAGAGCCGATGTGTGACCTCACTTAATCCTCACGGCCTGCTTCAGGCCGGGCAGTGGTACCCCCCTTTGACAGAGGAGGAAACTGAGGCACAGCGCTGCCAAGAAACTGGCCCAGAGTCGGACAGCTCATCGGTGGCAGAGACAGGACCGGAATCGGCTAGGGACTTTCATCCTTTCTGGTGGCAGGGCGTCCTCCCTCTGGGCACAGTGACATTGTCACCTCAGGGAAAACTACCGTTTCCGGGTGACTTACCCAGAACATCTCAAACATATCACAGGACTTTCTATTTCTCATAAGCCATCGTGTATGAAACCGAAAGCAAACATTCCAACATGCTAACAAATTAAATATAGTTGACTTTTTGTTTGGGCTTTCTGATTTACGCATACCAGCAGGGAATAAAATACACGAGTTGGTCAGAAACCAGTATCTTCTGATAGTGATGTCTGCGGTCAGACACCAGGACATACAGAGGGAAAACCCTCTCTGTGGCTATCCCACAATCCTCCTGAAATTCTTCTAGGACCTGCCGCAAGGCGAGACGGCAGCTGCGGAACGGGCGCTGAGCAGCAGAACTAACTCAAGCAGGGGCCGGTGGAGGGGGGCTTCCCCACCATGCGGGCTTGAACTCGTCTTGACAGCTTCTCCGGACGGAAGGAGCTAGCACGGCCTCACTCCTATGTTGGCAATAATCTGACAAGGGGTTTGCGGAACCACAGCAAAGGTGCTGATGGGGCAGGAAAATTTCACAGGTGGAAAGAGGGCCCCATGGAATGGACAGAGACACTGTGTCAGTCAGGAATGTATGACCCACCTCAGTGCACGGGGGCTTGGCTGACGCTAAAGCCTGTCACACCCGGGGACATCTGTGAGCAAGGACTTAGCGTGGTGCAGTGCTGGGAAGTGGCTGCCGGGTTGGAGGAGCCACTGATAGGACACAGCCCGACTGTTATTTCCTAAATGAAGCTTTCCGTGCCACTGTCGGTCTGACTGGGGGAGCTAGAGAGAGATACATGTGAACTTGAGTGACAAGTTGCAGTGGCAGTAGGAGGGATGCCACGGGGGCTTCGAGGACCGACTGAGTCAGCCTCGGAGAGCTGGGAAAGGTGAAGGGAGAGGAGAGTACAGAAGAGGGTGTGAGAAACAAGGGTAGGTGTGCAATGGAAGAAGCCCGCAGCAGGTTCAAGGTCAGTGAGCAGACCTATCTGGCTGCAGCAGAGAGAGTAGGAAGGGGAGCCAAGAGAGACGAGGCGGAGTCACAGGCTGGCCTGGCGGTGGAGGGCCTCTGTGCCGGGCCGAGGAGCTCAGAGAAGGTTCTGGAGCAGGCAAGAGGCATAACTAGAAGATAAACCCAAGAGGGACCCTCACTTAAATTTGACCTTATGAGGCATTTCCTCCCACAAGATCACCTCCCTGTTGGTGTGGGGTTGCAGCCCAGGTGCAGGCTGTGACCGCCTCTGGGATGGCCCTTGCCTATCCCTGGGACTGTCCTCGGGTCCAGCCCTCCTTGGCCGACTGCGGCTGGAACCCACAGAACTCCTTGGCCGACTGCAGCTGGAACCCGCAGTGGGTGGGTCAGTGGAGAGAGGGTTAAAGAAGAGTAGGGTTTGCGGCACCAAGGGTGAGAACCAAGGGTGTTGCCACGTTTGGTGGGCACAGGATGGTGGGCAGGGGAGTGGGGAGGGCCGCACCCCAGCCTGTGTCCTGCTCCATAAGGAACACACTCGGGCATGAGCTGTGTCCCAGCCAGAGCCTCGGGCTGCAATAAGCAGGGCCTTCGGATCCCTTCGTGGGTGGACGGGGCATCTACATTCTCGCAAACAACTGAGCAAGGGTCTGGAAGCTGCCTGACAGTGGCCACATGGCCGGTCACGTGCCCTGCACACAGTAGATGCCTGCTGGATGCTTGCAGAATGAAGGAGTTGAGTGGCCCTTTGCACAGCAACCGGGCCGCCCATGTAGAAATCACTAGTCAACTGCAGTCCAGACTCGCTCACCTCTTCTTGCCCACTGACTTGGAGAAAATGGCAATATTCATCTTGAACGGAGAGAAACTTGGCTTTCCCCGTCCCCTCGGCATCCTTAAGCTTGTCCAGGCTCTCTTGGAAGTGCTGCTCCGCCACATCTGCAGAAAAAGCATCATCACAGTGACAACTGCGAAAACTGCTGGCCGATTTGAAAAGGAAACAGAATAAATGTGCCTTTAGCAGCGCGGAACTGTTTGAAAGTAACAAGCATTTGAGTAAGGGGACCCAGTTAAGGAAACTGTCTTTCTCCCATTAAGCTGCCTAGTTCATCAGAAGAGATTTAGTTCTCAAAAGGATACAGCCATTTATTTTCCTTGGTTTTCACGTACCCCAGCTCTCCCAGGGATACAGGAAAGCGAACCATCCCCCAAACTGAAGGTATCGGTAAGTTTCCAGGCTCATTAAAGAACCTCCTCTCTTTGAAGGGTGGTCTGTCCACAGCCAGACCAGCAGATGGGCTTATAGAGCATCACTCCAAATTTTCTCTTGGCAAGAGAAAATTCCACTGCATGGAAAATATTACCCCGCCCTGGCTGGTGTGGCTCCATGGATTGAGCACCAGCCCGTGAGCCAAAGGGTCACCAGTTCGATTCCCAGTCAGGGCACATGCCTGGGTTGCAGGCCAGGTCCCTGGTAGGAGGTGTGTGAGAGGCAACCACACATTGATGTTTCTCTCCCTCTCTTTCTCCTTCTCTTCCCCTCTCTAAAAATAAATAAATAAAATCTTAAAAAAAAAAGTATTGCATCCTTTTCACTCACAGCTGACTCATGGGAAACAACGTCACAGATTTACCGCTCCAACTAAGCATTAGCTTTGGCTGCTTTGATTAATCTGATGACAGCTGACGTGAGCATGATGTGGCATTGACTTTGCTGACTCTCAAACCGTTATAGACATCAGCATTCCATGTCTCAGAATGAATGAGGACACTCAGAAGTGGAGTACTCTTGATGTTTTCATTTTCTAATTGGAAGTGAACCAGAGAAAGGAGCCAAGCCCTTCTTTACCGGCAAGGATCTTTCCGAGTCTCAGCCTCATTCCCCCCGCAGATGAGCCTTTTCTGTAAATACCAGCAGACGCGAAGGGTGGAGGAAGGAGCTGGGGCTAGACAGGCGGGGACTGGCTTTCAGACCCTGGGTTTGGGCAGAAGCAGTGGTGCTGTGCTCAGACAAAGGGGGGCCGCCCAGAGGGATGGGGTGCATTTCCCTCCCCTTCCTGGGTAAGAACCAGATCTCTCAGGCCCAGGTGGTCACAGCCGGGCTTGACACCTTTCTACCCCTTTCTTGTCGACCTCTCCCACCTCTTATGGTCTTCCTTCCCCGAGTGGATACATGCTGACCAACAGCCCCCCAAAAGCACTCCCATTGAAGCGAGTCTCCTAAATCTGATTGCTGCCTGCTCCTTTCCCTTAGTAGAGCTGATCTCACGGGGATGCTGGGAAAAAGGAAGCTGTTCTGCCTAATTCAGACTAGCGTGTGAATGGCCTATAACCCCTGACTCAGGGAGACCAATTCCTATTTCCCAGAGAGGGTGCCTGTCAGCATATATGGATCTCTGGAAGAGCGGCAGCGAGGGAGGGAGGAAGGGAGGGGAGGGAGGAAGGGATTTATTAAACTGAAGGCAGCGAGACTACTGAGGTGAGAGGAAAAGCTGGGTGTTGTGGTGGGAGTTAGAGACGGGCCTTGCCTGGGAATCTGCCCTCTGGGGTCAGCCTGCTTCCCCGCCTCCACAGTTCTCTGACATCCGTCGCCACACGCAGCTCAACCACACCCCAGGACGCCTCTCAGAACCGGAGCTCAGGAGCAGAGGAAGGTCTGGGGCGCCCACTGTGGGCACCTCCCCGTCCGCCAGCGTGAAACTGCTGTCATCTTCACCCTGACTGAGAGACCCCGAGTGACTCCTCTCACCCCTGCAGTCCCCCGGGTTAACTTCCTGCGCTCTGAGCCACAGGACTGGCCTCGGAGGGGAGAGCACATGGGCCCAGCGAAGGCGTGACACTCTTGACAAGCAGTTTGTCCTCCTGGGGTGGGGGTGGGGACATCCCTCTGGGACACGGGACAACAAGATTTCCAGAGGAACAGAAAGTCCCAGCAGAGTGGGTGGGATGCCACCTCCCAGCCCGCCCCCTGTGCTGGGACACAAGGCCATCCCTATCTTTAAACACCTCTTCTAGAATCCTCTGCAACCTGATGCCAGGGGCCTGGGCGGAGGGTGAGGTCATTTTCTAAAGCAGAGCAGCGTGACTGAGCTTATCCATCTGAGCGCTGGGGGCACAGGGCAAGGCCACGGATCTGCCACTTTCACTGCAGTAGAAAGGCCAGAGATGAGGGAGGAAGTGTGGCCCAGTGGGCAGCGTGGCCGAAGGCCCCCTCAGGGCCCCGGGGACTCTGTCCCGCCCGCACGCTCCCGCACAGACACGGGAAAGCAGGGCTTGGCCCACAGAGCAGGGGGAACACAGGGTCAACTTGGCCCTCTGGGGGTCAGGACACGTTTAATTAAAATAAATCCCAGTGACGCTGGGCTCGCAGGCTGGAGGCCGCCTGTCCCAGGCCAGTGCTGGGCCAGCGAGGGCCGCTTTCATTAAGAGGGAGACCTGCGTGTGCAAGGCGACAATTATCTTTTGTGGCAGTCCTGGGAAATAGTGTGCACTCTGCGCTGACTGCAAAGGCACGAAGGACCCCAGGGAACTGTTTGGAAATGGAAAGTCTTAAGGCCTCGGTTGGCATTCCCCCAGACAGCGAAGGGACAGAGCCCATGTGCAGCCAGCCTGCTGGGGGCCGGCCTGAGGGAACCCGCCGGGCTGGGGTGGGGCGTGGGGGCAGCCCGAGGACGAAGGCCAGGATGGGCTTTCTCCACGCTGGGGGCCCTCTTCAGGGGGGTATCTTTCAGAGGGCCTGGGCGTGGCTTCCAGGGGGTCAGCCGTGTGGTCCCAGGAAGTCTAGGGCCGTCTCTTCCGGCCTCAGCCCTGCTCACCACCAGGAAGCTGATCAGGGCCAGGCCAGACCCCACCACCCCTTGGGGCCACCCAGGGAGTGGCCAGGTGTCCAGCAGCCCCATGCCTATGGTCCCGGGTCCTCGTCTTGGGGGAGCATACATGTTTTCCACAAGCTGCCCTAAAACCCTCTTTGAAGCTGAGGCAGGGGTGTGGACAGCAGGCTTTTCTGAGCAGTTCTGAACACAGCTCAGGAGCCAGCACTGAACTATAACACTGGAGCCCCACCAAGGGGTCTCGGAGCATGCACACCCTGGCCCTCCCCGGGAGAGGACCGAAGCCGCAGACACGGTTCTGACACAAACATGCAAGCAAAGCCCGACAGAGTTTCAGCTCTGCCCCAGTGGTCCGTCTGGGGAGAGAGACCAACAACACCGACTCGGGGTGATGAAGAGGCCACACTCCCTCCTCCCTGCCGGCCCCAAGAGCTGCCCACCCCTGCAGTTGCCCCTTCCTGTCCTCTGGGGCTTCCCGGCGCCCTGGACCCCTGGTGACGGGACTCAAGGACCCTCAGCCACCCAGTGAGCAGGGAGTGGGCTGGGCAGGGCCCAGCGTGGGGCAAGCTGATAAGGCAGGGCCCAGGAGGGAGAGTTGAGAAAAGGGAGGGTTGTGTAGGGTGCAAAAGAGGAGCTCAGTGAAGATACAGAGCTCAGCCTGAAATGCAGAGCTCGCGTCTATGGTGCAAAATGAGGAGAGGGACTGGTTCCAGCGAGGGCCAGCTGGGGAGATGAAGGTATTTGTGCACAGGGAATTATATCTCTCGAATGCACTCCACACTCCCGAGTTTGCTCCATACAGCCAGGGGTCCCACCCCCTGCCCCCAAGGCTCAGAGGGGGCACAGCCCGTTCTGTTTTGATGTCTCTGGGCGCTGAGGAGCTCCCCGGGCCACTGGGGCCCGGGCCGAGGATGGGGCCGCTTCCAAACAAGGCCGCCGGCGCTCAGCAGCCTCTGCCTCTCCAAGGTTTACACTGAGATGTACTTGGCTCCAACCCATTCCATTTTAATAATGTCCTTTACGAGAAGAGTTATAAACCCGCGGCCAGTGCCCTGAACACTGCTGAGCGGGGTTGGGCGAGCTGTGGATACCAAGTTTGTCTATGGCTGCTCCGTGGGGCCGGCCTGGCCCAGGTTGGTGACATTCCAGGAGCCCGAATCGGGAGTCCTTATGCAGTCGGCCTCCTCCGTGACTTGTAGGGCAGTTCCGTCTGCGTGAGGAATGCGGGGTCAGGGGGGAGCTCGGAGCAAAGGGAGCACAGGGAGCAGCTTGAGCGAGCAGCCTGAAACACGCAGGCTTCTTAGCGGTGAGTTTTTTTTTTTAATCAGAGGGCAATACCTTCCATGGGCATGCCGCGGGCAGGCTATGGAGACTCCCCAGATGAGAAATGCTCTTCTCATTAATTATTCTTTAAAAAAGAAAAAACCAACAATAAAAAACTCCCCTGTACTCAGCACAGGCAGGTGTAGGCCCAGGAGAGCAGGGCTGAGACACCACGCACGGGAGTTTCCTTGGCACACCACAAAGCCCACAGGACCTGACCACCCCTCATCACATCAGGCTCTGCGGGCACGGGCCCAGCCCTCACACGTGTTCTGTCTCACTCAGAGCCTGGAATGTATCTGAGCTAGTTACCCCTGATTAGGAACCAATTTCACGTAATAATCCAGATTTCCGCTTTCTCTGGAAAAAGCAGATGTGCTGCTGACCTAATGAGCCTGCCGTCTACAGGACAGTGATGGGCTGGTGCTGAGGAACAGCTGTTCGCTTTGGACAGGCTGCAAGTTTCTCCAGTTTGCCACAGCCCTCACCACTCCCTACTGTCTCTCTCCCCGTGCAGCCACCAAGGTACCTGCCATGTATGCTTGCTGCTGCTATTGCTTCTTTTTTTTTTCCTTAATTTTTTAAAAAGACTTCATTTACTATATTTTTTAGAGAGGGGAAAGGAGAGGGAAAGAGAGGGAGAGAGACATCAATGTGTAGTTAGTTGCCTATCGCACTACCTCACTGGGGACCTGGCCCACCACCCAGGCATGTGCCCTGACTGGGAATCGAACCAGCAACCCCTTGATTTGCAGGCCAGAGCTCAACCCCTGAGCCATACCAGCCAGGGCTACTGCTTCTAATAACTACCCGCTCTACTCACATTGCTTAGCTGGTTCCTACAGAAATTTAGATTTGTGGTTCCTGCTATTCCAGGGGTTTCCATCAAGCGTGCATTTGCATTTTAAGTGCCTTGTAGCAGTGGTGGAATGGGAGGCTTTTCCCCCCCATTAAAGGAATTTTAGGCACCATTAAGCTGCTCAAAATGTTGGCTCCTTGGAGGTTCTGAAATCGATTGTTATGTAAGGCATGTCCTAAGGAGTGAGGAGCAGAGAGGCTCCTCCCACCCTGAAAGCTGCTCCAAGCTCCAGAAAACCGGAAGGAGGGATCGACAAGGAGGGCTGGACGGACAGGTAAACCCAAATCTCTGCACCAGCCCCGCCCCAGATGGGAGCCACAGCCTGGCCCAGAGACCGGAGCAGAGCAGACGGCTCAGGGAGGCCTCGGTTCCGCCATCCAGCCCCTCACCAGCCTCCTCCTTATTTTAGCTCCACCCCTGCACCCCCAAGCCCAGCCCAGCCCCAGGCCGTCCTGGAACTGATGTTGGGGTGGCTGGCTCATGGGCCCTTGTTTTACTCTTCTACAATTATCTTTATCTGACATCTTGGAACATGCCCCTAGGCCCTCTTTGTGCATTGTACTCTGTTCCTGAACATTCTGACCAAAAAACAAAGTCAGTAGAAGGAGTGTCCTCCATCAACAGAGGCGTGCTGTAGGCTCTGGCCCCAGGGTGGGGGAGGAAAGAACTCCCCAAGCTCACCACGCTGCCCTTTTTGTGCGGCTAAGAAAAACCCTCTGAGTCACAACGGGCAGCTTCCCTCTGGAGTCCCGACACCACGCCAGGCCACCCTCACTGGAAGCTCAGCACGGTGTGAGACTGGATGAGGGTTCCAGCGGGCCGGATCTGCGGCCACGGCAGCTGCACAGCAATCTTTAAAAATAGACACCCGTGAAAGCGGAGATTTCCCTATGGGTCCAGCATGAGTTCTCTGGGGCTTGTGAAAGCTACGTTTGGATGAAGATTTACTGTATCTGAAAATCAAAGAGCAGAGGAAGGCTGAGCAGGGATAGAGACCTGAGGGACGCCACTATAGACAGGCTGGATAAAGCCACAAGGGCTCCCCAGAGGGCCTGTGTCACAGCTCCGCCCACCCGCTCACCCATCCATCCATCCATCCATCCATCCATCCATCCATCCATCTATCCATCCATCCGGCCCAGGAAGACGGGCTCTCACCGTGGTGCTCCGGCCTCCCAGAAGCGAGGGCAGCGCGGGCGACCCAGTGCGCGGACACCGCTGCCTCCTCTTCGGACGGCTCCCCGCTCAGGACGATGCGGTGCGCCTGCCGCCATGGGAAGAAGAAACAAACACACCTGTTTACCTGCGTGGCAGCGGCAACAGGGGATTCGCTGCTCTTGCAGAGATAAGCAGAAAGCCAAGGAACAGGAAGCGGGACAATGTGACTTCTGTGGAAGCACAGTCCCCTCGTGGGAGAGACGGGCTTTAAGAGCATTGTGCAGTGGGAGGCAGGGAGGAAGCACCGGGCACTGAGTCCAGGTGGGCAGGCCCATCGCTGAGTAAGCCATTTAGAAGTGTGTACTCCCATGGGGGCAGCGTCAGCAGAGGAGTGGGTAGGATTCAGGAGGAAGGTGATAGATTGATTAGAAAGTGCCAGCGCTGTCCAGAGGAAGGGGGCAAGCCCAGCCCCCTGCCCACTGGTCAGCCCAGCAAGGGGGACCGCCCCCTCCCAGAGGCCTCCCCCACAAAAAGCTGGATCCCCGCCCCTAGCCCTGGGCCTTGTCCAGCCAGCCCAGTTGCCTGCCTTCTCTGCAAACTGGCCCATGAGAGAGAGCTCCCAGCACAGAGCACAGCTTGGTTCCTTGAAAATAAAGCCCGCATTGCAATTCTTTAAAGAACAAAACAACCCTATGATCCTGTGATTGTCATATAATAATGATAATCCTCTCAAATCAAATACATTGCTTCCAATAAAATACAGAAACAAATAAAAAAGGCACAGTCACTCCTCATCTGCCCGTCAACACGGGGAGTTTTAAAAACGTGTATTAGTAACACGTTCCCATGCATCCGACGAACAGACACGCACAGGTCGCCCACTACAGGGGCGGCGGCGGCCAGAAGAGTGGGCGGCGCGGGAGGAAACGGAAAACAGGAGGTCATACAACAGTCCAGTGCGTGAAGGTGGGGAGCTCGCACTTAACTGGCGCACCAGAGCGACCCGAACACTGCGAGTTTAAAGACAACACTGGATGGGGTTCAGCCACACAGACTGCCGACGACTGACGTTGAAGCCGCATGCTTCAATTCTTTTTCATTTGTGATGGCCATTTAAATTTTTCTGGCCATTTTCCTTGCCCTCGTTTTGTAGGGGAGACGGCAGAGGTTGCTGAGTGAACGGGTGTCTTGCTTCTTCCACCTCGTCAGGAGGGCTGCATCTTGTCCCGCCCTGGCCGACAGGGGCGGGCTCACTCATGACACCAGTGCACTCAGTGGTGCCCCTGGATGCATTCAGGAGCGGTGACGAGGCCACGGGAGCTGGCCTAGGGGATCAGAGCCACACCACTGCAACCTTCCAGTCCGCGCCAAGCAGCGAGACAGGGGAGCCACAGAGCCTGGCTCCTCGGATGGCCCGCTGAGTGCATTTCTGAGACAGTCACCAGGGTAGACTGCAGGTGGTCTCCGCATTGGTCACATGTTAAAGGCAGCTGAGTTAGTAGCTCCGGACGCCCCATGACAGGGGCCACTCCTGGCCAAGGGGGCTGGTCCTAACTCGTGCTGCCGTGTTCGATCCATTGGGGTTTCGTATTCCCAAACGCCAACAATAAGAATGTTTGTTATCATGGAGTATAAGTAAATCGAAGAAGCGATTCTGGCAGCCCCCAGAGTAGCCATCTTCCTTGGTTTGGCCAGGAGCTCTGACTTGAAATGCTTTTCAAACACGGGGCCCTGCGGAAAGGCGTGCAAGTGAAGACGACGGATGCCCCAGGGACGGAGTCAAAGGACCGAGTGTTCCGAGCGAGCTCGGGGCAAAGAAAACGCAGGGAGAGAGCGGGGAACAGCCTGCCCCACCCGAATGTGAACTGAATCACGCTTATTCTGTGTTTGTGCTCTGGGTCAGCGATCTCTACAACCCGCGATTGAAGAGCGCATCCTGGGAGCCCAGAAAAGATTTAACTCATGTTGTTACCAAGACTTTCAATGCACAGGATTTGAGGTTAAAACTCAAATTCATGCCCTGGCTGGCGTAGTTCAGTGGATTGAGCATGGGCTGTGAACCAAAGTGTCGCAGGTTCGATTCCCAGTCAGGGTACATGCCTGGGTTGCAGGCCATGACCCCCAGCAACCACACATTGATGTTTCTCTCTCTCTCTCTCTCTCCCTCCCTTCCCTCTCTAAAAAATAAATAAATAAAATCTTTAAAAAAAACCCCTCAAATTCACAATGACTTCACACAGGCGGGGGCCAAAGGAGATTTCCAGCTGCAGTACCAGTGAATACTGCTGTCGGTGACTGGTCACGCAAGAATGCACGCGGAGGTTCCTGTGCCCACTGCTGCGGCCCTGCTTTTGCCCACCCCTGTGCTTTGTTTCTGCCCCCTCTGACTGTACAAGATCGGGTCACGCTGAAGCCCAAGGGGACCACTTCCTTTCCCGTCCCATCTCTGCCCAGTGGGGAAGCCTTTAGAGGCTGCACACACCATAGCCGCGTGGGGCAGCTGGAGGCGGGCTGGGGGCTTGGCTAAGAGAAAGACGGACTGGGAATCCCCGGGGGAGCTGGTGAAAGGGAACTCACTGGGTGTACGAGCCATTGGGAAACGGAGTTCTCAGGGCCCTGGACCGAGCTCGTTTCTTTTAATAGTCAGAGAAAGCCCTCGCTGGCAGCTCTCCAGCTGTCAATTTTAGCTCCTCCGGAGGGCTGGAGAGGAAAGGCCCTCCTCTCTCTCTGCAAGGTTAGCACCAAAATAGACGTGCCAGGGGCTTGTATGTCCTCCCCTCTTGTAGTTCCGAGTACGTGCTCTCTTAAAACAGAACTACGTGTTCACATTCGCACGGTCACACCTGCACATAACTTTAAAATCCTCAGTGGGAGAAAAGAGGGAACGCGATTGTAAATGCCCCCTTCCTCCTGTCACCCTCGTTTCCCCCCTTTCCCAGTCTGATTCCTTACATGTCGCCGCTGTCAACAGTGCCCCGTGTGTCCTCTCAGAAACGCCGAGATGCTCTATACAGACATGCACACGTAGATAGGCACATGCTCTTACACACGCATGCACACACACACACACACACGTAGAGTCACAACCTGGCCCCGCCTTTATCTCAGCTGCAGCGCCCACCTCGCCCTCTGGGCTCTCTCCCCAATGCCTCCTCTCTCCTCCCCCCTACCTTTGGGTGTCTCCTTACGGAAGCATCGGCCCCTGGTGCTTCTCTCCCTGTGGCGCATGTGGCGGTTGCAGCTTGAGGTTTGCTTGCGTGACTATCCAACGGAGGCCTCTCTCACTCACTCAGTTGCCCCTTGCGGGCAGGGCCCCTGACCCCGGAACCTTCCGTCGCAGTCGCAGAGCCCACCACAGGGCGGAGTTTCATCAGCTGCTGACTGAAAGAACGTTCTGGCCCACACCCAGCTTTGGGAATTAATAATACACTCCGAACATCCATCACGTCAGATCCTACATGGCCATCCCCTTGTTCTTAGCAGCTTGCACGGGTGTCCAGCCTTTTGGCGTCTCTGGGCCACACTGGGAGAAGAAGAGTTGTCTTGGGCCACACGTTAAAGACATTGCGACACATAATCACAAACAAAAAAATCTCATCATGTTTTAAGAAAATTTACGATGTTGTGTTGGGCCGCATTCACAGCCATCCTGGGCCGCAGGCGGCCCTCGGGGCGCGGGGCAGACACCCCCGCTCTAGAGTATGCCATCCTAATTCCATCATCAGTCCCCTACAAATGGAGCGCAGGGTATTTCTAATTGTTTGCTATTGCCAACGACATTAGGTCACTGCCCAGAGAGCTCTGCACCCTGGTACACAGCTATCTGTGAGGGAAGCTTCTGACCCTGATGAGTCGAAGGATCACTGCGATTTAAATCTGGAGGGGGGATATCGATTGCTTTCCCCCAGCAAGGTGCCGACCCCCGCCCCCACCAGCAGGGCATGAGGACTCTGGCTTCCCCACACCCTGGCCATCACCGGCACCTTCGAACTTCCTTACTTTGCTCACAGGTAGGTGAACAACGGCATCTCCCAGGTTCAATGACACTTCTTTAGTAACAAACAAGGCTCAGGGTTATTTTTGTGTGGTTACTGGCCTTTCGTGTTTCTGCTGCTGTAAGTTATCTGGGCTTGTCTCTTGTCCATATTTAGAGAGAGCTGTGTTACAGATTTTCTAAGAACTCTTTCTATATTTTCCCCGCTTCGAAAATTATTTTTGGACTTGCCTGTATTTTGTCACAGCGGGGTTTTTCACTTTCATGCTGTCAAATGCATCAAATTCTCTTTCTCCTCCTCTGCCTGCCTCCCCCAGTCTGTACATCCTCAGAGGAGAGATGCTACAGGGGTCAGTGTCAGCTGCTTTGGGGAGGGGAGGCCTGGAACGGCTTGTAAGTCATGCCTTTATATTTTCCTGTATGGCTTGATTTTTTTTGTATACATATAAAGAAATACTGTTTTTGCCCTGGCTGGTGTAGCTCTGTGGATTGAGTGGGGGCTGCGAACCAAAGTATCGCAGGTTCGATTCCCAGTCAGGGCACATGCCTGGGTTGCAGGCCACAGCCCCCAGCAACTGCACATTGCTGTCTCTCTCTCTCTCTCTCTCTCTCTCTCCCTCCCTTCCCTCTCTAAAAATAGATAGAAAAAATCTTTAAAAAATACTGTTTAATTAAAAAATAGTTATTGTTTGAAAAGAAACAGTATGGAACCTGGATAATGTCATTCTTAGAATATCTTCATAATCCATGACATGGTAATAATTGTACTCTGCATCTTTTCTAATTAAAAAAAAAAAGCCCAATATTCTCAGAGATTTTGAAAGTAACACTAGCACGTTCCGGCAAGCACACCGCAGCGAACAGGAACCAATCAGAAGCAGCGCCATCCGTGGAGCGCCGGAACCTGCCCCGAGTCGGGGGTGAGCAGCTACCAGCCCAGGCCTGGGCCTGGCCGTGGCCGGCCGATGACACGCCCAGGGCAAGGAACCTGCATCAGGACTCCCTGACCTCCGCGTCTTCGGCAGAGTAACCGACAGGCTAAATTACCTCATTACGCTTGCCAGTCAGACTCCCCCAAATCTGGGAACTTCTGAGCACCAGCAGCAGCAGCAGCAGCAGCAGCAGCAGCGGAGGCGCTGCTCGGCAAATCACAACGAGAGAGATGCGACTCACCGGTCCGAGTTGTGGAGAAGGGGCGCGAGCCAGCACGGTGCTCGTGTGCACCCCCAGAAATCACCCCCCCGCCCCCTCAAGCAACACTTTGGCTCCCAGGAACGAAAGAAACCCTGCGACTTTCCTTTTGGATAGGAAAATAAGGTTCCCCTGCCAAAAGCTGCCAGGGGGAGTTTCAGGAACAATCCCATCTGTGTGGCTTTCTCACAGCCCCCTGCTGCCGAGGCACAGAGGGGCCGTGACAGCTCTTTGATGCATCCCCCGAGAGGGCTGCCTCCCCCTGGGGGGGTTCGGTGGGGCTTGTTTTTCTTCTCCATTTTAACGGGTCAGTTCCTAAAATGCTTTGGAACTTCTCTACGTTCTGCAGAAAATGAAAGGTCTTTTCTCTCTGGGTGTTTCTCTCACTCCAAAGGAATGCGGGGTGGAAAACAAGATGGGAAATAATAAAACCCCTTCTTCTTGTGTGTGTTTAATAGATGGCTTTTCAACTTGAGCTCCCCCGAAGAGCTGTGGGCACACGAAACCTTTCTGAGCCTTAGGTAAAAGCTCCTAGAGAAAAGGGGAGCCCTGATAAATGTTAAATAATGAGAGTTAATAAATAAAAGTAGCTTGTACTGGGAACAATGCACTTTCTGTCTTGAACCTTTGAGTGGTTCCATGAAGTAGATAGGGTCTTTTCTTTAAGGTTTTATTTATTTGCTTTTAGAGAGAGGGGAAGGGAGGGAGAAAGAGAGGGAGAGAAACATCCATGTGTGGTTGCCTCTTGCACGCCCCCTACGGGGGACCTGACTGGCAACCCAGGCATGTGCCCTGACTGGGAATTGAACTTATGACCCTTTGGTTCACAGGCTGGTGCTCAATCCGCTGAACCACACCAGCTAGGGCTCTTTTTTCTTTTCTTGAGAGATGAAGTGACTTGTACAAACAGAAGACTCTGAACTCCAAGTCAGATCTCCTGATTTCAGAGCCAGTGCTATTTTGACTTCACCAAGCAATCCCTTTAATAATGATCAGCGAGTATTTGTTGACACTCTCTCATCTTTCTGAACCTCAAGAACAAACAACCTATCCAACTTGACAAGTATTATGCAGATGAGGGAATTCCTCTCTGGCCTGGATACAGAGCACCCCTAAGACCCAACACCTCGAGGTGCCCTGAGTGCCCAGCTCTGTCTCCCCTTCAGGCCTAGACACGTGTTCCTGCCTCCGCCCGGCCAGACCTCCTCACCTCCTAGCACCCCTGGGACCAGGCGCCCACATTTATGACCTCAGTCTACGATCAGGTTTCTGTGCTTCCCGTTGCTTCCGTGTTTCCCACGGCCAGGTCGTCAGTGAAGGGAAAGAAAAGGAGGAAAAGCAAAGGAAAGAGAAATTTTTAAAAAAATGCCCAAGTGCCACAGTATGTCAGGCACTGTGCCAAGTGCTTTACGAATATGAACTCGTGCATCCTCCCGACGCCTGTTCTCCTTAACAGCGAAAGCACTCAAAAGACCTAGGACAACGGCGTCAAACTCATTGTCACTGGGAGCCACACTGGCCTCACGGTTGCCTCCAAAGGACCGAATGTGATTCTAGGACTGTGAACATGTAACTGCTCCTTCACTAGGGGCGAGGAGCTCAGCGCTGCTGCCGCCAGGTAGAAACAAGGGGCCGGGCCGGATAAAACCAGGTGGAAGGCTGGATTCGGCCCACGGGCCTTGTGTGTGCCACCTGTGGGCTAGACGGTATCTCCTCCAATTGTACTTTTTCTCATGTTTTTCTTGCAAATGCGTCTCTGTGTCCTTCACCAGGTTACCCAGTTACTGTGTCCAAGTAGTCGACTTCCAGACCTCCTGGCCGAGCTCCAGGCCTCACCGTCGAACGGTGCAGCTGTCACTCCCACTTGCCTGCCTCCCTGGCGGTGGCCCAGCCTTGCCCTCGTGACCTGAGCTCGCCACCCCTCCGTCACCCAGCGCCACATGCTCCCCCGGTGTCAAGGCCACGGACATCCACCCGGTTGTTCAGGCCACAAAACCAGGAGTCATCTTTGACCCCTCCCCTTCCCCTTCCCTCTTGGCCCCACCTCCAGTCAGCCTCCCGGGTCTTTGTCCAGTCCGCCTGCTTCTACTCACTGTCCCGTCAGCATCCTAGTTCACGCCACTGTGCTCTTCAGTGGCCCCTGGCTGGTCCCTCCCCTTTCACTGCAGCACGTCCTCCCCGATCCACTCTCTACGCGCCAGCTGGAATAATTCCTCTGAAACACACTCGGTTCAAGTCCGGGTCATGCCACTGATCAGCATGAACAGGACCCCTGGGCCTCACAGTCAACCTTTCTCATACTTAACCTTCCCTGTCTATAAACTGGAAATGATAATATGTCCCAGGGTGGTAGTAATATTTGAGAGAGGGAACCCAGGTAAAGTGATGGAACGGGACACTCTGATAGCCTATGGCTGGGAAGACAAAGGTCAGATAAATTTAAAAATAGCCATAAGCCCTGGCTGGCGTAGCTCAGTGGATTGAGCTCGGGCTGCGAACCAAAGCATCGCAGGTTCGATTCCCCATCAGGGCACATGCCTGGGTTGCAGGCCATGGCCCCCAGCAACTGCACATTCATGTTTCTCTCTCTTTTTCTCTTTCTCCCTCCCTCCTTTCCCTCTCTAAAAATAAATAAATAAAATCTTAAAAAAAATAGCCATAAAGAACTCTCAGTGCCATGCCATTGTATCTCATTGGCAAAGAACAGGCGTGAATTTATCTATAGTTTACAACTTTACCAGGAAAGAATTCTCCTAGAAAACGATTTAAAATGTGCTTTCAGCAGATGACCCGATACAAAAACATCCAACTCCCTGCGACAGGTCATCCCATGGGCCAGCTTGGCTAGGCCACAGCGCCCCACTGTTAAAGCAAACTCGGGTCCAGAAATTGCTGGGAATGCACTCTGTAGCAGAGACGAACATTTCCCGTCCATGGACTTTGAGTAAAGGACGTTACCCACGACAACAGGAGTTCGAGGCCTAAAGAGCAAAAAGCCCAGGTTTCCCAAAGAAGGGATTCTCCCTCCAGACTGGGTCTTCTTGCTTGCACTGCAGCTGGCCTGCCTCCCTTGTGGGTTTCCGACCTGCTGGCCCCTACGATCACATGAGCCGATTCCTGGAAATCATCTCTCTGTCCAGGTAGACATCTGATCAGTTGTTTTTCCTGATGCACCCCGATGATGCAACCTCAGGAAGGCGAAGTGGAGCAGCAGCTGAAGGATGCCACCTCTAAGCAGCTTTGGGTCAAGACTTTAGCCTGTAGTGGAAAAGAACCCTAACCAGTTCCATCACAGACGCTTAGACTGCGCACCTGGTACTCAAAATGCCGTCTTCAGGGACTCGTGGGCTGCCTGTGGAAGGCGCACCTGGAAACGGAGGACCGCTATCCCACAAGCACCCGCTGGGCCGGCCGTCTATACGAAGATGCTTGCTGAACATCCACCCCAGGCCGTGGGCTCTGCTTATCGGCACAGACAGCAAAGGCGGGCATTCTCAGAGCTGCTCTGTCGCTGTGTTCACGCAAAGCCTTGGGTCTAGAACAGCTGTGGTGGCCGGCAGGTTGCCGCTTACCTGCAAGAGGTGGTCGATGGCCGTGTCGTGCTGCTTCAGGGCCTGCTCTGCACCTGCCAGCTCCCTCAGGACTGGCACGCACTCCAGACTGTTGTCCCCTTTGCTGATCTCAGTATATTCTAAAGCCTCTTGGTAGTGGGGCAGAGCTTCTTTTGATCTCTTCTGACTTTGATACAACCTAAAAAATCAAAGTGATCATTTTTAGAATAGTTAAAAGAGAAAATATTGAAAATGCGGCCCTAGCCCTGGCTGGTGTAGCTCAGCGGATTGAGTGCAGGCTGGGAACCAAAGTATCGCAAGTTTGATTCCCAGTCAGAGTACATGCCTGGGTTGCAGGCCATGACCCCAGCAACCGCACATTGATGTTTCTCTCTCTCTCTCTCTTTCTCCTTCCCTTCCCTCTCTAAAAATAAATAAATAAAATCTTAAAAAAAAAAAGAAAAAGAAAATGCAGCCTTGATTGGTGTAGCTCAGTGGATTGAGCACAGGCCTGAGAACCTAAGAGTTGCTGGTTTGATTCCCCGTCAGGGCACATGCCTGGGTTGTGGGCCAGGTCCCCAGTAGGGGACACTTGAGGGGCAGCTGATAGCTCAATGTTTCTCTTCCTCTCTTCCTCCCTCCCTTCCCCTTTCCCTGAAAGTAAATAATTTTTTTTAAAAAAAGAAATTAGACTGAATGTAAGGTAAGAGCCTCTCTCCAACCCCAGGACTACAGGGCGAGGAGACGTGCCAGAGGAAACAAATCTTGGGTGAACAGGCTCAGAGCGTTCCGGCCAAGCTGTGTCCCAGGGAGGGGCTGATGGCAGGGACACCTCTTCCGGGAGCAGCAGGGCATCTCCCAGGGGCGAGACGGGGAGGAGCAGGGCTTTTGAACACATGACCTTATGTCAGAGCCTCTATGTCCCGAAAGCTAAATGCAGAGAAAGTGACTCATTAAAGAGGGGCACCCGAGAGATCAAAGACCTCCAGGCAATGGTATGAACTAAAATACATACATACATACTGAGCCCAGAAAGCAGAAGTGAGGTTTGGGGATTACTGCCTGGACCGCTTAGGGAGGGAGGACCGTGAGATGAAAAAGTGAAGGCTATCACTGAAGCTCCCCAAAATTCCTGATAACAGCCGGGGGGTGAGGATGCTGTGGGGGGAAGCACACAGAAATAAAATTCCATCCTAACGAGGTGATGGCAGGTGGCCACCTGTCCCAGTGCCATTGTTTCTTCTATGATCTTCTTCCTGTTTCCAGGCAGTTGGGGGGGGGGGGAGAAACCTCCCCCGCCTTCTTTCCTCTTTGGAAAGCTGGTGTTAGAGTCACTTTCCAAACCTGGTGGCCACGATGACGCAAAAGAAAGCAAGATAAAGAAACAAACTCAAGCTTAAAAAAAGAAACATGTAAGACTGTATGATTTTCAGCTTAGGTGGTCCGCGAGCACAAGGGCAAAAACAGCCTTCTCGAGTCGCAGGGGAAAAATAATCCAGGAAAGAATGTGGCACGCCAGGGGCAGCCTTTGAAGCCAGGGTCTTCACGTGAGGTGAGTACACGCTTTAAAATCCAAATCAGTTCTGGGATGAAATCATAGGAAGGAAAATGTTTACCTAGAATGTTCGATGACAATAATAATAACTACTTTTTTACTTTATTGATTTTTTAGGGAATGAGGTGGGTGGGGAGGGGTGGGGGAGAGACAGAGAGAAACGTCGATCTGTTGTTCTACTTAGCTGCGCATTCATTGGTTGATGCTTGTATGTGCTCTGACCAGGGATCGAACTTGCAACCTTGGCATAACTGGACAATACTCTAACTAACTAAGCTACCCACCCAGGGCAATAACTACTTTCCTTTTTAAAGAGCCTATGATGTAGGGTCCCCAGATGCTTTAGCGTGGGGTCCATTTCATCATCAGTGCAACCAATAGGGAGGGTCTGTTGTTCCCCCTTTAACAGGGAGGATGAGAGGAAGCTGACTTGACCCTGTGGCCCCCTGGCTCTGAAGCCCACATTGTTAGTGGCAGCACGTCCCATTCCTCAGAGACACCTGGGGAGTGTCCTGTTGATGGTGTGAGAAGTCTCCTTAAGACAGGCACACATGAGAGAGAGTTCAGCACAGCAAGGCCAGGCCAACCACTCACTGGACAAGCTGTGGACGACTGCAGAGATGACACCGGCCATTAGAGAGAAGAGACCCAGACAGGTCACGTGTTTCAGAGCAGCTATCTCTGTGGGTCATCGGCACAGCCGTGCCATGTAGAAAGATTGATCTAATAATCGTGTGTGCACATGGGCAGTGGTGTCCACGCAGAGGCAGCTGCCTGTCTCTGGGGACCTAGCTATCAGTCACCGGGAGAGAAAATAATTTTCATCACTGGGGAAGAATGTGCTCGTTTTTGCTCGTGACTTTCTTGACCCCCCATTTAAAACAACTGCGGGAATAGGAATACATGAGTGGACTCTCTCCCAGGTTAATACATAATAACTGAACGGGACAGAGGCGGACAGGTACAAAGGATGACGCTTCAGGCCACAGTCGGGGGTGGAAGGCACGGAGCGTGAGTCACTCTGCAGCCCGAGGAGAGGAGCTGGCCCGGCCTGCTGGGCACCATAAAAGGCAATGCAGATGGAGAAAGATGCACCTAAAAGATACCCTTTTAAGAGAAACACAAATCCCGGGAGAGATGACTGAGCGACTATCCCAGCCTTCCACCTCCAAGGCCTGGCAAAAGAAAAGGCTCTTGCGGTTGTGAGCGTAACTACAGCAAAGCACAAAACCGAAGAGTCGTTACTTCCTAAAGCAGATCATTTTGGGTAAAGGATTCACACCTCAATGAGGGAACAAAGCCAAGTGACTGAATGAAAGCCATCAGTTTAAACATGCAAGTTCCAGCGACGGGGTCAAGGTGAAGAGGCAGGATGGGGAAGAAAGTAGCGAAGTTTAAAAAAAAAAAAACTCAGCTAAACGGAAGGCAACATCGTAGGATAGCTGAGAACTTGAAATGTTGGATATTCTGCACAGATGCATACAAGGCACGCCACCTGCTGGCAAGGTTTGGCACTGCTCATTTGGAAAGCACTCTCAGAGGAGCTGCCAGATTCTGGCGGAGGAAGACAATTTACACTATTTTGTAGCAACGTTGTTCAACATTAAGCACAAATAACATTAGTCAGAGCTTAACAGATGGCAACAACTATCAGATCTTGGACCTCTGATTAGCATACTTCGCATGTTACAATGCAAGATAGAAGACGTACTTCTGGAAAGGGAGAAATTCTGAACTGGAGACTTGCAGTCTTTCCTCTCTTCCTCCTCCTGTTACGTAAATGGAACCATTCAGAACGAATTCTTTAGGGTCCGGCTTCTTTCGCAGACTGTGTTTGTGAGGGTCACCGGTGACGTTAAGCACAGGAGTACTTGGATCATTTTCTTTGTATGAACATATCACCATTTTATCCACTCTACTTTGGATAAACATTTGGGTTGTTTCCAATGCTATTACCGGTAATGCACCTTTGGGCATTGCTCCCTACGTCTCTTGGTGGACGTGTATGCATTTCTGTTGGGTGTGTATTTAGGAGTGGTTCTGTTGGGTAACAGGGTATGCAAACTCTCGAACATAGCAGATTAAGCCAATTTTCTAAAGTAGCTATAAAAATATTTTCTAAACAACATAAGAAAAAGCATAGGCGAGCATGACATCTTCGCCAACACTTGACAGTATCAGTCTTAAAAAAAAATTAACTATTCTAGTGGCAAAGTAGTCTCTATGGTTCTAAACTTCGTGTATCTGAGGACAGATGAGCTGGAACACTGATTCATGTTTACTGGCTACGTGGGTACGCTTGTTTTGTGAGAAGTCTCTTGCCCAAGTTTCTATTCAGTTGTTTGTCTTTGTTTTATTGCATGTAGGAGTTCTTCACAGATTCTAGATACGAGCTCTTTGTCAGTTATGTGTATTACAAATATCTTCTTCCTCTCTGTGGCATGAAATACGTGGTGATTTCAATGCAGTAAAACATGTACAAAGCAGAAGAAGATACAGAGAACTAACAGGCTCAAAGGCTCTTGCATCTAGAAAGTGGCTTTGTCTAGAAAGTGGCTTACTGACTAATTTACATTGGAGTCCAATGAGTCAGGGTTAGGATAACTGACAAATTCTGTGGTACTCCCTAGAAGACAAATAAAATCATGTATAATTTACCAGCTGATAGGTCTGAGTATGAAATGATAAAAATATTTGAGTATATTTTTAAAAAAGGGAAGAAAGGAATATGAAACTGGCATGAGAAAAGGAAATTTAAACTCAAATATATCAATAATTAAAACAAAAAAAATGAAGATGGAAACTTAAGAGATGAAAAAACTACGTTAGGAAAATTTAAACCGAAAGAGAGCTAGACTATCCACTGTAAGATCAGGCAGAATGGATGTAGCTATAAGGAACAAGGGGCAATAGACACTGACCTACAAGATAACAGATTATGGAGATACGCTGCTGCTTTATCCTCCCATCCAAGAGAACATATCAGACTGTCTAACAAGGACCGGCAGAACCATGGACAGCTCTAGACCGACCAACCATTGTTAAGTCAAAATTTAGGCACGCTTCTCTTCAAAATGACCGTATCAAATTGGCACAAGATACAAAAATTAAAAAAAAAACACATAAATCTGAATACCAGAATTAATAAGGTCACACTAAGATAGACTTAGTGAAACCTTATACACAAAGAGTAAAGAATACAATTTCTTCACAGCTCACTTGGAACCTTCACGAAAGCTGACTGTGGACTAGGTCAGAGAGGAAGTAAGTTTCAGAGTCCCTGCCCTACAGATATGTTTCTGTCTGTAACACAATAAGGTTAGAGATGACATCTGAACACCCCGGACAATTTCCTGTATCTGCAAACTGAAACACATGCCATGGGATTTATACGCTAAAGGTAATTCATACGCTGAGTTATGAACGCTAAGAACTGAATGCCGGTGATAATGCTATGTGTTCAAATATGTGGGGCAGACTGCAAACAGGACTCATAGGAACATTGGTGGAAATATGCTTGACATTTAGGTGGGAAAGACTTTCTAAAGCAACTCCTAAAGAATGAAGCATTAGGTTGAAGGTTGATGGTTTGGACTCCAGCAAAATGAAGACTTTCTCTGCCCTGAGAAAGACCACAGGCAAAATGAACACATGGGCAACAAAAGGAAAATATTTATATTATAATAGCACTAATTTATAATGCGCAATAAAATCTGGATTATCAACAAGAAGAATGGAGGAAGTCCCACAAGAAAAATGAGAAAGAATGCTAACAGCCTGCTCAGAGAAGAGAATCCCCAAAGGCTAAGCATTATAAAAGGAGGTTCGCAAAGTCACTAATGAGAGAAAAGTAAAAATAATTAGATAGCACATGATATGCATCAGGTGGGCAAAGGTTAGGCGGACGGACAACATCCGATACTGTTGGGGATGTGAGGAAACAGCAGCCCACCTGTCCAGGGAGGGGGGAGCGTGAACGGGGTAGCGTCGGCCAGTGTGCAGTGAACTTGAACTACAAATGCACCCTGGGACCGCGCAATCCTGCCGCTGGGGCGCAGACCTCGGAAAAAGCCTCCTTCAGCTACCTGCGTGGAGCTGGGCCAGGATGCTCGAGGTGGCGCTGTTGCAGGAGCAGGGAGCTGGGAACTGCTGAATCCTTGTGGCGAATGCATTCTATGGAACACGGAGCAGCAGCCAGCGGCCATGAGCTGAGACGCAGGCAACAGTGAAACACAGCGCCACGTGGGAAAAAGTGAGAAACGGAGGGAGGTAGATGCCAGAAACTTATTGCCAAGTGACACGTGGAGATGGGTCAGGGCAGCACGAAATATTGCCGTGGCCGGAAAAAACCATAGACGTAGCATCACGGAGCAGGGCCCCCTGCCCGGAGACATCTTCCGGCAAAAGGGCCTGCAGCCGCCGTGTGCAGAAAAAGCCCTAACCTGGGAAACTTACTGTGCGAAGGACAGCTTGACCTGCGCCTGAATCTCCATCCATTCTTCCTCCACAATCCTCCCGCATTGCAGCAGCTCCTTCGAAAGCCTCGCTGCTTTCGTCAAGTTCTCTGCAGCTTCCTTAAATCTGAGTGGCGTTCAGGAAACCGTACCCCAGATTCTAGATGCTGGAACCCTCGTTCCCGGATGCCCTGGGCTCGCACGCACCCCACCACCCTTCCTGACTCAGCTGTCAGCTTTGGGTTTGGCCTTGAGAATTCAATAGAAGTAACAGGAGCGGTATTTCTACTTGCAAGTAGAGGTGAAAGGATACTTTTGAAGGGAGAGTAAGGCTCTCCCCATGGTGTGGAAGAGCTCGATGGAACAGCGGAAAACATCTGTGTTGTCGTTACCAGGAGGCACAATGGAGTCGGCGAGGACTTCTTTGGCTTTCTCTGCGTGTTGTTTGGCCTGGCGTGCCAGTCCTGTGGACGAGGAGAGAGCAGTCTCAGCTCCCCTGTCATCTCAGTGGACGAGGGCAGAGCCACCCACGGTCCGGGCATCTCGGGAGGTCTCCTTCACCTGCTGCTCAGTGACTCATGGAGAGGTGTGGGGACAGCAGGAAATGCTGTCATGACTGTCACACCCGAAGTGTTTTACCCCTTGTACTGAAGGTGCAATTTCCACACCCAGTACTCAAGATAATGTGTTTTTTTCCCTAAAAATGGTCTTTTGGGAAATAAAGTAGAACGAACAGGAATTGAACGGCTTTGAAACCTCACCAAGGTCAGACATGAGATATGCTCTAAATAATTATAAAGAAACAAACGGAATACAAGGACTATGGCATTCTGGGCAGGAAATGAGACAGTCGTGAATTGTGGCTTTGTGACATCCAGCTTCATGAAACGCTAAGAATTCTGAAGCTCCTGCTTACCCAACTAGAATCATACTTTGGAGAATTTATTCTAACATAATATTCATACAGTGAGTATACTGAAACTTATAGTTCCAATGAGGTAACAAGCTAATGTGCTGCAATCTCTTATTCGTGTGTGGTGACAGACTAATATCAAACCAAGTGGAGTGGAAGAATAAAGTTCCTGCTAAGAACTAACTCCTGTGGTGATGAAGTTTTCTTTTGTAGGCCTATCGGTTTGTGGTAAGAGGGACACGGGGGATCCCCAGTTATTTTTCAGGGCTTCTCACTTTCCCACACCCCCATCATCACACAGGCACCCCCTCCCCCTGCCCCTCCAACCGTGCACTCCTGGTCTTAGGTCATTCACTATATGTGATTATACCTCCAAGTTCTAAAAAATAAAGCTGGCCACATACAAAGTGAATTCTGTTCCTGTGTCTATAAAACAGAGAGAATATATTTTCCGATGGTGAACATCCAGGGAAGCTCTTAGGAAATTTTATCTTGTTTTTCAAAACCATGCACTCAACCGACCTGCCCGGAATGGGTTCGTGCAATGACACATGCGGTGTCACAAGAGACGTGACAGACGGTGTTGTCAGCCCTGACCCACTCCCTCAGGGAACTCGCACTCGGTCTCCTGGAGGCAGCGTGGGCTGAGGCTTGAGGACCCTGGCTCAGATGTCGGACTGCCCGGAACGAAGCCCCCGCCCCCCGACCTACCCTGAAACTCAGGCTTCAGCTTCCCCAGAGGGAAGCAGGGACGATAACATCACCCACCTTAGAGGACTGTGGTGAAGACAGAGTGAGGTTATGCATGGAAAAGAGTGAGCATGGTGCCTGGCACTCAAGAAGACCCAGTAAATAGCAGACACTGCTTTAACTTTACGTGGAGAGAGACTGTCGATGCAGGAAAGTTGTGGACTGTGGAAGAAAAGCGCCATTAGAAATCCCAGGTGCCAGGACTCTGGGGCTGAGACTCAGACCATCAACATCTGAACCGTGTGATCTGGGGCAAGTGGCTTCAACTCAAACTTGCTTCCTCCGGCTCTAAAAACGGGGGGGGGGCTGCCTTTGAACTGGGTGATGGCCAAGGTCCACCCTGGCGCTCACCTGACAGGTGGAATTTATTGGGTGGCAATTCTATGCTTAGCACTCTGGTGCTTTCCACGCGTTATTTTGTTTATTCGCTGGACCGATCCTGGGGATTTAATACGAGCATCATCGTTACATCACCTTGCAGGCGGAGAAACCAAGAACAGAGCGGCGGTCCTGTCCATCTAGTCCTGGGTTTGCCCAGTGAGAAAGAAGGAGACGCGACACCCTTGTTTGCACCTTCCCTGTATCCATTCTCCTTGTCTCTGTATTTTGGGGGGGGGGGGGGGCGGGGGCATGGAGGGTGGATACCTGGCCCCTCCCCCAGGTGATCTATGTGATTTAGCCAATGCTGGTCTCTCCTGCAGGGCCCCAGGAGAGCCGAAAGGCAGGTCTAGCCAATCAGAATATTCCTTGCCTTGGACATTCAACCCAAGTGGGAAACTGACCATGTGGTTAGAACGCCTGAATCCCGTCAAGCCCACGGTAAGTTTTGCCCTTGGGTGTTGAGCTGCATGCACCAATAAATTGCCTTCTGTCGATGCCAGCTTGGTGTAGAGTCTTATTCATTTTGCGGGGGATGATTACTTACGGGCAAGAGTCTCTCCACCAGTACATATTTGAAGGGACGTTGTGTTAGGCCCTTCCTCCAAGCCCTGGGCCGTTTCTACAAGGCGTTCAAAGCTAACAAATCAATTCCCTCCCAAGAACCCTCCTTTTAAGATCATAAAATACAAAACTCCAAAGGGCCCAGATGCTCCTTCTCTTTTTTATACATTTGATAAAGAATCTTACTCATTCTGAAAGGAGGTGATTTCACCCCGTGTGGACGGTAGAGTGATGACAACCACCTAATCCTTGTGGATAAGCGCAAGGCCCATTTCGGGGGGAAAAAGCAGAAGACCACAGATGGAGCCTCCGAGGTCCGAGCTGAGCTCACCTTTCAGCCGGAGGTAGCCTTGAGCCAGGTTGACGTAAGCCTCCGCCAGTTTCCAGTGGCAGTCGCCGTAGCAGATCCGTGTCAACGCCACGCAGCGCACGAGCTCTGGGATCGCCTGCTTGTACTGCGAGGGAGAGAAAATTGCACTTACCGTCCAGACACCTGAGCATGTGCAACCACAGAGCACAAAATCGCCTTGCTCTTTAATGCAGCCAGTATGTATTTATTGAGTGCCTACTCTGACCTGGCTCTAAGCACTTGAGATACGTAATAAAACAAACAAACAAAAAAGCCAAAGATCGGTTTGGGGCAGTAAGGCTTCATTCACTAGCAGAACTTGGGCTGAGAAAGGCTGACAACCTAGGTCTGCCTAGCACAGGGCCGGGCACATAGTAGGCACTAAATAAGTAGCAGTTGCATCATGAATAGGCATGCATTCAGAACTGGATTCATGCCTTCTCTCTATGATGCTGCTCTTCCTCCGTGGTCACTACAGAGACAAAGGGCACCAGTGGGCATCTGGCCACCACACCAGCTGAGACCAAAGTCCCAGATGCACACACTCCTTCTGGTTTGCTCTGGACTCTCCACCCCCCACATCCCCACGGTCACCGGGTCCCACTGATTCGCATTCTCAAATTCCGGTCAAAAGATCTCAGCATCTCCCCTGTCTTTGCTATAGTTTGGGCTCCTGCAATTCCTTGTTGGGATCTTTGCAAAAACCCTTTACACTGGCCCTGCACCCCTAGTTTTGCTCTCTTCTCCTGCTACCTGAGTGATTATTCCAGAAACGCGAGCCTGCTCACGGCACTCTCCTGCTTAGGGACCTAGGATGGTTTCTTCCACCCCTAGGAGAAAAACCTGAACTCTTTCCCTGGACGCTGAAAACCCTCCAGGCCCCAGTTCCTGTCCGCAAACCAACCTCATTTCCTGCCTGGTGCCACCAAAGCCTGCCTGCATCTCATGGAAACAACCTAAGCATCCACTGGTGGATGAATGGATAAAAAAAGTGATACACACACACACACACACACACACACACACAAAAGAATATTATTCAGTCATAAAAGAAGGAAATTCTGCCACTTGTGACAACATGGACGGACCCTGAAGGCATTATGCTAAGTGAAATAAGTCAGACAGAGAAAGACAAATACTGTATAAACTCACTTACAGGTGGAAGAAATAAAGAACAGACTCATAGATACAGAGAACAGATTGGTGGCGGCCAGAGCTGGGGGGCGGGGGTGGGGGGGCAACACGGGTGAAGGTGAAGGGGGGCCATAGGTACAACCTTCCAGTCATACAGTGAATAAGACCCGGGAAGCAGTGACAGCGTGGCGACCGCAGTTAATGGTACTGTGCTGTCTATTTTGAAAGTTGCTAAGAGGGTAGATCTTAAAGGTTCGCATCCCAAGAAAACAAACCGTTCAACTCTGTGCAGTGATAGATACTAATTAGACTTAACTATGGTAATCACGTTGCAATAAATACATATGTTGAATCTTTATGCTGTATACCTGAAACTAATGTAGTGGCAAACGTCACTGTATAAACTAGCGGTTAGAGCGCAGTTTAAAAACACAGAGCCTACCTCCCTAAGGGTTCCTTGTATCTCCCCAAACAGACTGTGTCCCTCAGACCCTTGGCTCTTTTTGTCCACCTGCTACCTCTGTCCAGAGCACTGTGGTCCTCTCCCTGACCTGGCCAACTCCCGAGCATTGTTGCCAGTTCGGTCCCAGTAAGTCCCATGAGTATGCAGAGACCAAGAAGATGAAGAATATAAGAACTCCAAGCGCTGAGAGCGCAGAAGCTTCTCATCTGCTTCGCATTACATTGCAGGGCCTGGCTCGGGCCCCTAGGGGGCGCTCAATAAACATGTATTGACTGGTGGAAAATTAGAGTCCTAGGTCAGGTCTACAGGGAGGGTGTCAGCCTAGTGCCAGCCTTGTGCGTTCGTTTGTGCATTCATTCACGCAGGCATAGGCTCACTGCTCTGCTGTGATGCGCCAGACTGGCGCTCTTGCATCAGACTCCAGAGAGCAGGAACGTCACCGAGGCCAGTGTACTTCTCCGTTACCAACATACGGGTATGGGAAAGGAAGGCTCCTTACCTCGTGCCTGCTGGAATAGGACTTGGCTTTCTCTTCGCAGAGGTGGAGTTTCTCTCGCGGGGGCTGGAAGAGCAGCGTCTGAGGCAGCTTGCTGGGGACCTTCTTTCCAGGTGCGATGCTGACGGCAGCAACGACCTCATCTAAGTGGTTGGAGATGTGCGTTTCCTGGGCTTCCTGCATGTTTTTATTCGCATTCTCCTCTGATTTTTAGCCAGGGAAAGAAAGGAGTTCAATGATCGTTTTCATGTTTGCTTTTAGAAATACGCATTCCCCCCGCCTCCTAGAAATTGAGGGTAGACTCTAGGAAAATCTCAGCACTGTATCCAGATAGAAATCTGGTAACTAGTACTGACTTCTCTGTAAAAGTTTCAGGCGGATTTCCTGTTTAAACCAAACATTCTCTGTTCATTAAAATATATATGTACATATAATATGTATGTGTGTTATATATAATATGTATATATATATTACATGCAGCAGAACTCAGCTGATCCCAAACAACTCACAGAGCCCACATTAGATCAGCTCAGTTACAACTGACCTTGAAGTGGAAAAGAACATGACTTGTTAAACTTCCATGTCCAATCTAGGGGCAAGATTCTTGACTGAAATAACCAACCAACCGACCGACCAACAACCTGCAGACCATAAAAAAAAAGACACCCAAAAAACGAAATAATGGCTTTCAAGACTAAATGGGATTATTTGGTGAGCACCGCAGTAGGCCACACTGGCCACCAGGGGGCGCTGTCTCAGAGTTCTTTTCCAAAGCCAGAGCTTCCTCCTTCTTCATCCACCTAATTAAGGACCACTGATCAGCAACTTGGCACAGATGAGCTTCAGCTTCTTTGAAGCAAGTTTTGAAGCAGGAGCCAAACACCCTTGGTGTTTGGTGTGCCTGAAACACTTTGCTTTTTTGGAACATGGTCTGTGATTCAACTTCGTTTGTCCAACACTGAGAATAGTATTATCTGGTACTTGGTAGCAGCTCATGAAGTGTATGGAATTTTTGAGTGTTGTCTCAGAAAAACAGGTCAGATGGCCTACAGGTTACAGGCCAGGTCCCCAGTAGGGGGCGTGCGAGAGGCAACGGCACATTATTTCTCTCCCTCTCTTCCTCCCTCCTTTCCCCTCGCTCTAAAAAGAAATAAAATCTCTAAAATAAAAAAATAAGTTTGATGCTTCAGAAAAACAGCAAGGAATGCATAAAGATATATGTTATTCTGCCATATGAAAGTAATGGTACTCGGATAAAATGACTTAAGCGGCTGCAACTAATTCTTACTCTGTTGTTTATAATATTTAGCCCCATAGCCGCCAATCTGTGCTGTGGACGCTATCTTAAATTGCAATGTCAGTTAGATCCCTTTTAAATATTACGTTCATAAGGTCTCCCTCCTGCTCAAACCCGAGGACCAAACTCCTTAATGTAATCTCTCATGCATTTTTTTTTTTTTTTTTTTTTTTTTACATCAAGGCTCCCAAATAAACCTCCTGCTGCAGTGGGAACCACTCATTCTTTAGGCTGCGCATGTTGGCCGACAACTCACCCATCACCTGGGACACCACTTCCTTTCTTCCCTATCTGCTGGAATTCTGCCGGTTGCTCAGGCCCAGACTGAGTCCTAACCCCAGCTGGGAAGCTCTCCCTGAATATTTCAGCTCACACTGATCTGAGCACCGGAAGCACCTAACAGTCACCATTGCATAAGGAACTGTCCAGAAGTTTTCTTTTAAATGTTTTGAGTCTCATTCCTCCAACTAGAGCGTGAACCTCTTGAGAGATTGAATTTTATTATTTTTATAGCCCCCCCCCCCATAGATTAACAGAGGCCCTGCAAGCATACCAACTATGAGTTCGGCCTTGTAAAGTGCCATGAAGTATTTATTATATTTACTAGCTAAATTAATGTTTGAAGAATCTTTAAGATGCTGTTTTTCAGAATGATGTATTGAACTGGATCCTAAAAAAAATTGTGTTGCTTTTTCAAAAATGTTTTAAAGCAGGTGGGGCAAAAGTAGGTTCACGGGCCCTGGCTGGCCTAGCTCAGTGGATTGAGCGTGGGCTGCGAACCAAAGTGTCGCAGGTTTGATTCCTAGTCAGGGTACATGCCTGGGTTGGAAGCCATGACCTCCACAACCGCACATTGATGTTTCTCTCTCTCTTTCTCCCTCCCTTCCCTCTCTAAAAATAAATAAATAAAATCTCTAAAAAAGGGTAGGTTCACAGCTGTTTGCATGGAAAATAATACAATAATTAATAAATAATAATACAAGAATAAACTGTTTTGCGTACTCACTACTGTAAACCTGCTTTTGTCCCACTCTGTATGTTATTCTTATTTATCAATATTTTCCTGAACTTTTATATAGTGGTTTTAATAGAAATATAATTTTTGAAAATACTGTGGAAATGCTCAATTTCATTTTTGAAAAATCATCATTAATTACCGACTGAGTGTGCTTCATATACCAATACTAAGTTTTGCTTGGTCATTAGCAGATTATGTCCTCGAATTTCCTCATCTAAAAATATACACAAAATTTGAATCCAAAGATGATTCTAATTGTCTCTTAATAGGTGGCTTGCCTACTATGCTAGGTATGATAATATACAAGCAAAAACAACCTTTTCACTTGATAATTGCAATAACATTAAAAAGTGTCCCTCTAAATCTATATTAAAGCAACAACAAACTACAGCTTCTTAGTGTATAAAATAATCTATAATTAATATCACCTTGTTCCCTCTACCAGCCCCAAACCCACGTGAATCATGTTCTTCCCGCCCCACACTCAAGATAAAAACACCCTCTGAAACCCCGCCTTCCTGCCACTCTTAGATCACGCCTGTATTATCTGATTTCCCCTCAACACTGACTTATTTAAAACTAGCGAAAAATCGGAAAACTTTCAAACTCTCACATCTCTGTGCGGTAAAATCCTTTGTCCATTCACCCTGCGCGCCGGAGAGGTTCTCCATTCCCTTTTTCCCGGGAATCACGCCGGTGCCGCGACAGCCTGACTTGCCAGGTTGGTTCCCGTCGCAGCAGCCTGGTGATGCTTTGCACAGTTTGATAACCATCAAAAAAGTCCGAAGACGGGTAGTTTCAGACCGAAGCAAAGAAATCTTTTTCCGGGGAAGCCACCGAGTCCCTCAAAAAACTCCGGGCGGCAGAAATGAATGATAGCGCCTGCACCAATAGGAAGTGGGGAAGAACATTTTGGAGAAGTTTGTAACCCAATCCTTGGGAGCCAGAGGTGGGAATTTTAAAGTGGGGTCGTCTTTTCCTCGGAATTTTCTTAAAGTGGTATCGCTGCATTGTAGATAACGTTCAAATTTGCCAAAGATTGCTCACTTCTTAGAGTATCCCATTCTGCTTTACCTTCTTTTGAATAAGGCAATATGTGAAAATTGACACTCGCCAGATTTAGAGAACTTTTAAGTTAGTCATAGAATTACTAGTTATACTAACAGGATCACTTGGCCACTTATGGGTCAGGGGTGGAAGTTATTTTAAGATAATTCATTTTTCATGATAAAATACCAGATGTTAAATTAATACACTAAAATGTCCTTTTTTAAATAAATGAAAATAAGAGACTACCATTGATTACTTTTTAAGAAATCATTCTATTGTTAATCCTTTTTTATTTGCACTCTTTGATATTAGAAGCAATTCTTCTTATTTGGGTTTTTAATACCCTAAGGAAATTTGTTTTTACACAAACTGCAGGTTTCCTCATTTTAAGTCCAGCAAATAATTCCTAAGTGCTATGCACAGCTCTTAGGTATTTAGAAACCTGTACAAATAGCCTTAGAAGTCAATGCCATATACCATGCTATGTACTCCAGTAACTGCTGAAGACCAGGTTTAATAAATAGAAAATTGGTACTGCATTGTAACTCATGCCTTGTTTTGGAACTGGTTTTGTTTTATAACTCTTCTTTCTAGGCTATTCATCTCTAACAGTAATTAGATAAACCAATGTGAAACTGTCAATTAATCGATATCAAACTTTACAAAGAACAATAAATAACAGCAGCTTCATGAGATGAAATTTTTTTAAAAAACCATTCAAAAGCAAAGTTGACATGAAGCTTTTTTTCAGTGTTCCCTGACAATGCTTGGATTAAAAAAAAATAATAACACAAAACCAGCATAAAGCTCTCTTCCTTTGATGTCTCCGTCCCCTGATACAGAAATTTTCGTCCTGAAAGAAATATGTATTCACGGCCTACTCAGTCATGCTAGGAACTGCCTCAATACTTAACCGACTAAGTTGTTACTGTCCTTTTTAGTGATCGTCCCTAACAACAGGTATTTCAAAGCAGACACCAGGTTACCCGCTATCTTTGAACCTATCGGCGCGCACCGCGAGCCCTTAAATCCCGTGCTCAGGCTCACGACTCGCCAATTCACCTTGGCCAAGTTACATAAACCTGGCCTCAGTTTTTCATCCGTCAAATGAGTATAATAATAGTACCTGTGTCATGGGATTGCAGTGAGGGTTAAAAGAGGAAATCTAGGCACAGGTCTTAGAACGCTGGAATACAACAAGCACTCGGGTGTTATTGCTGTAACCCGTGAACGTATGCATTCAATGAGATCACGACTGCCTGCATGAATATATTGTGTGAATAAAAGCACAGAGTAATTACTGGTGGTTCCTGAGGTTGGAGCCGCCTAAATCACACCTTCAAAGTGCAAAAGCATAAAGCCACTCTTTCTTGACAGCAAGCCCCCAGCCGGAGCCGGAAGCGAGGGTCGGAGGTGGGCGGAGCCAGTCTGTAGGAAGCGATGCTCTGGGCCAATGGCCACATTGCTTGGAAAATGAGCCTCTGGTCCGACCTATCGTAAAACCGCGAGAACTGGGTGGAATTATCGCGATGTTCCTACCTCCACCACCTTCCCTCATTCCCTGCTCTCGGTAGCAAGAATTCCGCCCCGCCCTGCCCCACACAGCCCACTCCTTGCCCCGCCCCCAGCCCGGCGCCCCGCCCCTCCCGGCGTCCCTCGGCTTGCGGTCCAGCGCAGCCGGCGCCCCGGAGCTCTGGCTCCGCCGGCGCGGAGGTGAGTGTGACTGTCAGGCGTCTCAGGTGGCTGAAGTGGCGAGGCTCACAGTCCTGGCCTCCGCTACCCACCTTGGGTCCGGCAGAAGCGTCCGGACCGCGGTGGGTGGACCGCGGGACGAGCGGCCCGGTGGGGCCTCGGCTCCTCACAGCAGCCGGGCCCTCCTCGTCCTGAGGATCGATCCGGACACTGGGTCTGTGAAACCGGTCACGGGGCTCGCTGCTCCCAAACTGTTCTGCGCGAGCAGAACGGCGTGTGTTTTGCCTAAGGCTCTGCCATGGCTTCTGAGCAAATAACCTTTCACGAATGCTTTTCCTGGACGCTTTTCAGTTCTCTAATGTCCAGGATTAGGAGATCGGACTGGGTATTCTGAATTAAGTACTGTAGTCAGTGTAAGGGACTCCTTCTCCACCCCCACCCCCCTTAAGACGCTCCTGCCTAAAATGCGTGAAATATTCTTCTTAAGGTGGAAGGTTCTGTTTCTTAAAATAATAATGATGATGATAATAATAATAATAAAACAGCGTTGGCTTTAACCTGTCAGGCAACTCGTGGGGAGGTGCAGTTGTATACAGTCCGAGTTGAGTGTGTCATTTACTTTTAACTGTAGGTAGGAGGTAGTGACGGGAATTGGCGAGACTAGTATCCCCCGGCAAAGGACGTGTGTTGCCCGTGAGTGCACATTGGAAAACCATCCGCATCATTTATTATTGGCGCCGGCTTTCGGATTTCCTTTGGGTAGATTTTACCTTTCAACTTGCCTTTGGAGCAAGATGCATTTTCACGGGACAGCCAGGCCCAGCCAGAGGGTTCGGCGGAAGGCACGCCAGCAGGTTCCAGTGAATTCTCCTATTGGACCTGCTGTCAGGGAGTGTGGGTTTTATCTAAGTTTCTCTTTGTAGTCCTACATGTATACAAGCGGCGCCTACCGCTTAAATGATAGTAGAAAGAAGCACAGGCCCCACCGAAACGCACGAATGGCTGCGTCGTAGGGCAGGGCGCAGGTTTCAGAGTGGATCCACCTGTCAGGTCACCCTCTGAGAAACTCAGTTTCCTCCTCTCTAAAATGGATTGAGTGATGTCTTTTGCAACGTCTCTTGTAAGCATTAGGGATCCTTACGGCATATAGCAAGCGCTGAGTTTATGGTGTCTGCAGGCAGACCTTAAGTTAGAGAATGAAAACAAAAATCCACCTTGCAATACAGCAGATCCTCAAATAACATTGTTTTGTCGAACGTTGTTTCAAGTGGATTAGGTGCCATGCGGGTGTCCAACCTGTGGCCCGCGATGGCTGTGAACGTGGCCCAACACAGAACTGTAAATCTACTTAAAACATGAGATTTTGTGTGTGTGTGTGTGTGTGATTACGTGTCACAATGTATTTAATGTGTGGCCCAAGACAACCCTTCTTCCAGTGTGGCCCAGAGACGCCACAAGTTTGGACACTCGGGAAGAACTGAACTCTTGTTTATATGGATTAGCCTGTGGGAGAATCGGCTTCTGTATTGTTTCGCTTTAAGTCGCAGAACCTATCGAAAGTGTCAGCTGAGGCCTTAACTGTGTGTGTTGTGTTGCTCGCGTGACCTGGTTTTATCCATTCACCAGCTGTGGGAAGGCCCGCTTGGTGCCTGAGGCAGGCATACGAGCGTGAAGGCAGCTTCCCGATCTCAGCCCTCGGGAGCTCCCAGCCTCACGGCTAGATCGACAACAAGCAAATGCACCGATAAACGTATAGATTACAAATTGGGAGGAGTCCTACGCAGTTGGTGTGGGTGTGCCTGAAATAAGTGCTGAATGCTTCAGGTAGGGATAGGGAAGTGATTTTTACATCGAAACCGGAAGAATGATGGGACAGTGCTTTCGGGGCTGAGAGGAGGGCACTTACAAGGTCTGGGGCAGCCCAGGAGCTTGGTGAGCAGCCAAGGACAGGGCTGCTGGATGAGGCTGGAAAGGGGTGGGTCCAGATAGCAATGGCCTGGTCAGAGTTTGAGCTTCTAAATAGACTTTTGAAGGATTCATTTAGTACATCGGTGGCAAACACAAGGCCTGTGGGGCCCAATCCGGCCCTCCACCTTGTTTTATCTGGCCCAGCACCTTGCTTCTACCCAGCAGCAGCGCCAAGCTTTCACTTAACTGTTAAGGAGTAGTTACATGTATACAGTCCTAAAATCACATTCGGCCCTTTGAGGGCACCGTGAGGCTGCTGTGGCCCCTGGTGAAAATGAGTTTGACACCCCTGATTTAGTAAATTGTGTGCACCCTAGAAAGCCAGTTTACCTGAGAGAGAGAGAGAGAGAGGGAGGGAGACAGTTGGATTTGCGTTTTTATAGGCTACAGCTAAGTGATTAGTGTGTTGAAAGTGGCCAGGGTAGACACAGGGAGTCAGTCACACAGATGGCCAGGCAGGACATGACAGTAGCTTTTGGGTTTGGGCTGATGGAGAAGTGTAGATGGATTTGAGGTGTATTCCGGAGATGGAAACCACTGTCCTTCAGATAAATTGGAGGTGGCAGGTGAATCATGGATCGGATCATTCATGACTTTCAGCTTTCCGGCTTGAGCAGCTGGCAGATGGAGGTGTGTGCCATTTTCTGAAATGGAAAAAAACCCGGGGAGGATTTGGTGCAGGGGTGGTGGGGGTGTGGAAGGAAGCACTCTTTTGAATGTGTTAAGTTGAAGTTCTCCTTGCTTTACAGTGGAGAGAATTAAGGTGTGGAAAGACTTGGGTTTCTTACTCACAGTCACATAACATGTCTTTTAAAAATAGGTGAGTAGGTTGAATGAACTTGGGGATATATGAGATTCTCGTGATGCCTCGTGATATTATAGAATATTCCACATGTTCTGCTCTTCTACGTTAAAATGGCAAGTGCCATCTTATTAGCTAGGAATTAAGAGTTTGGAAATAATAGAAAATAACCAAAAAGGTTATACAACTTCAAGCCGTTTGAAAGTCATGTTACTACATTTTGTACAAACTTGGTGTCAGTTCCCAGTGATAATTGTTTTTAAGAAAAAAAAATTTCTTTAAAAGATGCTTTCCGACAGAGAGTTTAGAAAAGGGTGTCTAGCCCTGGCTGGCATAGCTCAGTGGATTGAGCGCGGTCTGTGAACCAAAGTGTCGCAGGTTCGATTCCCAGTCAGGGTACATGCCTGGGTTGCAGGCCACGGCCCCCAGCAATCGCACATTGATGTGTCTGTCTGTCTATCTGTCTGTCTGTCTCTCTCTCTCTCTGTCTCTTTCTCCCTCCTGTCCCTCTCTAAAAATAAATAAATAAAAATTTTTTAAAAAAAGAAAAGGGTGTCTAAAGCACAGAAGGGAGACTCTTTGAACCAAGCTCATTTATTTAGTTTTAGCATTTTTTTTAGTATCCTATGGGAGTCTACGAGTGTAAAGAACCGGGCTTTGAAAATACATGGGACCTCCCCACTTTCCAAAGGGGAAAAAATCCCTTGATTTCATCGTCCCTTAGGAGCTACTCAACCTTGGACAAATTACTGAAGCTCTGGGTTTGTTTCTTCTAGTGCTAAGCGGGAAGTTTTTTTTTTCTGCCCTATGCTTTATTGATAGGATGGCAAAAGTTCTTTTTTATCCTATCCTTGTCAATTTTGGAGCTAGGAGGGAAATTGATCTGTTCTGGGTTTTCGCCTTTACCAATGAATTGCTACATATAGCAGTATTATATTTTGTAGATCGCTTTCAAAGATAGCAGTAATATATTTTATATATTAGGCAACGGAGGCCCAGAGAAATTTTAATAGAATAACACAGCATTCTTATTTTCTTGTACAGTGTTTCTTCTTTCATTGAAATCATGAAATGAAACTGCTTCTCAGAACTATTGCTTTGCTACTTTCTGATAATCTGCAATGATAAGAAGAAATAAAAGAAGGAAGAGATGAAAGAAATAAGAAAATTAGTATATGGGACAATAGTAATGTTAATATTAACATAGTGATGTTAATATTATAAGAGGTGAAGAAAATGAAACTGTAAATTATCTAGATGTATTTTATATACATATTTAAATACTTTTGAAATACCTAAAGTTAAATACAAACAAGGTACTTTAAGAAGGAAATGGATTTGCTATATCTGATTTTTAAGTTCTTTCTTTGGTTGCCTGTTTTGAAACTGGTTTCTGTTCTCTGAGAGATTCTGATCTCAATTTCAAGACTATTTTTTTTCAATTACAACTATTTCTACTAAGCAGTGAATATTGCCTAAATAGTGAGTGTACTGTTATTACATAGTTATGAATTTAATCTCTTCCTAAATATGTGTGACAAATTTAGTTATTGTGAATGAAAAATATAGGGATCGAACGTATAACTCCTTCTAGTGTCTGCAAATAGCTCTGCGTGCTAACTGGTCCATTTAGCAATGCTTGTAAGCAGGACTATAATTACTGTGTTTTCTGTTTCCTCCCTAGAAATGGACCAGTTTTGACAAGATGTAGCTCCGCGGCGTGCCTGATGGGATCTGTTCAGTCATGGCCTCCGAACTGTGCAAGACGATCTCTGTGGCAAGGCTGGAAAAGCACAAGAATCTGTTCTTAAATTACAGGAATCTGCACCATTTCCCACTGGAATTACTGAAAGATGAAGGACTGCAGTACCTGGAGAGACTCTATATGAAGAGGAACTCCCTCACAA